CTCCTGACGAATAATTCCCAATCCTACAATATAAAGTCGATATCTTTATCTGCGACAAAATGGCGGAACATTTATTAATTGTGACAAAATGGCTGCCCTAAACTGCTTGACATAAGAATATCCTATTCGATATTTCACGCCGAACATTATCGAACACGGTAACGTTGATATTTCTACAAATATTCTTTATTCTCTGCCGTTTTTCAATATTGAAGCAGGTTCACTTTCGTACACCTTCTGCTTCAAATAGCTCGATAAAAAGAAGTCTAAAGGTGTCGAATCTGGCGAGCGAGCTGGCCATTCCGTAGGACCTCAACGGCCAATCCAACGACCGGGAATAGTAATTTTCCTAACGAGTGCGGAAAGTGATTCTTTCCCGCACGCGACTGCCGTTGACACGAACGACGCGAAGCGGAGTTCGGGTAAGCAGTCGAGTGCGGGAAAGACACTTTCCGCATGAGTTAGGAACAATATTTTTTCTACAAGCGTAGGAAATTGATTGATTCGTTCAATTAATTATTCAAGCAAATAGGAACATCTAACAAGAGATATATTCTCTATCTATTAATTATTAGTAATAGCTAATTATTAGTAATAGATATTGTGAACTTACAGTTTGACGCATTATGTTGGTTCATTGCGGAAGCCAGCAGGCACATAAGGAGTTTGGTCTGTAGGTTTCAGACACTTCTTTGAAAAGAGACAAAAATACCTATTCTTCATTCGGTATTTTCATTTCTTTATTGTTGCACCATTCAATAAAACGCGTGTATAGCTTCTCATACCTTTCTTGAGACTTCGTTGGTGAACGCATCTGTATCGAATTCATATAGCTAGAAGTTTTTGATAACATTGTGGCATTTCCACTGAATCGAAAATGACAGTAACGCTGTGTCTGTCACTTCGACAATTTCAAACTTATTCGAGGTTTGATTGGCATGACAACAATAATCGTTACCCGTCAGATCAATCCAAATCTATAGGGGGATTTTTATAATAATCAATTTTTATTTCTCAATATCTCTTAATTTTTACAATAAATAGTGCAATCTGATGAATGATTCTGAACTTACATACTGCAACAAACAGACTCAAACTTTTATATTTCATCACCAACCACTTATATTATTGAAGATTTTATCATATCTTTGTTTTCCCGCACTGTTGCGGGAAAATGACACTTCCCAAACTAAATTGCGTGCGGGTATAGGGTGAATCACGCAGGCTTGTAGAAAAAAGTATTATCCAGATAGTTTCTCACTTTTCTGGAGTTTTGTGGTGGTGCTCTATCTTGTTGGAATACAATATCCATATCAAATTCATTAGGATTCGCTTCGATAATTTTGGTGATCAGAGGGTCAACAGTATTCTCCATCATATTCAAATACAGTTCCCCTGATGAATTTCTACAGATAGGACGATTTGGGAAACGCTCAGTCAAAAGTCTTTCGGTTTCGTGAAAGTTACGCGTCGCACCGTAAATAAAAATCGCTTCGATTTTTTCTTCCAATGGACGAGAATTGATCATTTTAAAGATAGTTAACCTATTTACTATGTAGCAAAACTGAAAACTGAATGAGAATATTTCAACAGAACAATGATGTTCGTTGTCGTTTATCTTTTTTATAAACAAAAAATATCCTTTGAAACCTTATCGAGTTGTTGGGATTGCCATATGGCAGGAAAAAACAAATATTGCTAGAAATAACGATATCAATGTTTTTGTATTCAGGCAACTGTTGTGAAGTATTCGTCAGGAGCTTCAAAATGTTGTCACAAGACCCCTCTTTCCATTAAATTTTTTTATCCCAGATGGCGCCTAGTCGCCATATTGAAATTTTCACCTGTCAATTCTAGTCCAAAATATAGTATTCATGCACCAATTGCATCACCCCAAGTTTCAATTTTTTAAGTTGACCCATTCAAAAAATAACAGGGTGAGGAGGAACATTAAAAAAAGCACTGTATAGAAATGCAAAGCTTTGGAATTCTCTGCCAATGGAGGTATTCTCAAGAGATTATTATCCCCACAAGTTCAAGAAGATTCCAATACCTTGCTCCTCTCCCTATTCTTCCAAGGCACGCGAACATTATGGGGATTTCCTTTCGTGCGCTCCACAAAAAGGAAATAAATCAAAACCACAAGACATCTAGTGGAATGAAATGTTCATCATGGTGTAGAATCTAGTGGAAGCCAAATTATTGGGAAATAAAAGAAGGCATTGGAATATCTCAAGTTTGGCCAGGACAAACAAATTGCCATAGATTGAATTGGGATTTGATCAATTATGGGGATAGATATTCCAAGTCACAATATAAAATGATTAATGATAATAATAATAATAATAATACTAATAATTATGGATTTTATTGATAGTTATAGGTAATTACAAAATAAATGAAAAATGATAGAGAGCTGAGAACTGGATACCTATCAAACGGCAGAATTCAAGTTCAGATCATTTCACCAGTGAGAGTGACGTAATCAGAACTTGATCTTCCATTCCATTGATACTAGAAGATCTTCAGAATTTGGAATTGACAGCTTGAACAGAACATCAACCCATAGTTTTGATCAAACATTCAATATTGTATTTCAAGTTCCCAATCGGTTACAAGTTGAACGTTTGATTAAGAAATCACAATCATAATATATAAAATGAAATTCCACAATATGCATGTAAATTCTTCATATCAAAAATTGTATCGATACGTCTATTGAAATTTCTGGTGTCCCATCATCAACAATTTTTTTCTTGTTAATTCCTTGCCATATTCTTGTTATTCCTGAATCAATGGGTAATATCGCCAGTGTGTTTTCAATCACATGTCGCTGTCTCTACAGGGTGTTTCATGAATGCTGTGAAAAAATTCAACGGTAGACTCCTAGCAGAAAAATAATACAATGGTTTTTTCAAACTTTCAGTTTCTGAATGCCCGTCAAAGATTTCGATACAGGATCAAGATTTACAAACAGTTGTCCATCAATCATTTCTGAAACAAATATTATTATGGATTTTTATGAAATTCTGAAATTTGGTGTGTTGTTGTAATTGAAATTCGTTCAATTATTCTAGTGGCGTCTCAAGGGACAACTGAGCTGTTGGTTATATCAAAAAAATTTGTATGTAATTAGGGCCTTTATTTTTTTCCCTTCCCGAGAAGAGAACTATTTTTCTTAAAGCCCTTGAATCAAGTGAATTGAACTTAATGATGAATTATTCTGTTCACGACTATTTACGACATCGTATTATTGCATCTTGTGAAACAATTCAACAAGCCCCAGGGATTTGAGCACGCGTTTGCTAATCGATGCGTCCCAGAATGAGAGCTTTTCGAAGTTGATGGCAGTCATGCATTCTGAACAATTTTTGTCACTGACTCTTTCCATATCATGTTTTTCTCTTGAAGGGTTTCATCATTTCATTCATAAGGTATTGAAGATTACTTGATAATAATTTTCTCCGTGATATTTCATTATCTATTTGTTTTTTTTTGTATATGCAATTGAACTTTGATTGTTTGAGGAGTCACACTGCGTCTTGTTTCAAAATGGTGTGAATTATGTTCACATACCTACTTAGTCATTGAAATTGTATGTTCAAAATCATAATTCATCCTTTTCGCCCAAGATTCGATTGCAAATTTTACTCAAAGTGAATCGTTTCCAATAGACCTCCAACAGAAACCTCATATTATTTTTTATGAATATGGTCCATTTGACTTTCTTATAAGTTTTGACGCGAACATTCCAGTAAATATTTGAACAGAATATTTCATTTAAAATGCATTAAAGATTTTTTCTGAGAGAGCTACGTATCTCGAAATCTACGGGTATTTGGAAGAATTTTTGGAGAAACCTTTTTATTTTTGCTCATTCTCTTTGAAACATCCTGTATAATGCACTAATTTGTACCTCTGTGTTTAATATACTAATGATCAATTCATTCAAACGGTTTGTTGTCGAAATCGATGAATCATTCGAGAATTTGAAGATACACTGAAAAAAATAGTCGATAAATACCAAACGTTTAGTGAAATAGGCGCCAGTCACATGCAAAATTCATTCAATAATACCACTACAAAATTGTATAATACTTATAGTATAGTATGATACAATTTTTTTGTGGTATTATTTGACGAATGTAGTAATACTGGCGCCTATTTTACTGAACGTTTGATATTCACCACCGACTATTTCTCGGAGTGTACCTCAACTGGAAAGGAAATATTTTCTCCTGTATTCATACAGAGTGTTTCATTGGAAAACGGCAATACAGTAACAGTGGATAAAGTTTACCGATTTGGTTTCGAATTATTCGGATTCGTCACCCTTAAACAGTTTTTATAGCCGAAAATGTTTTATCATTCATGATGTAAGTTTCTTTATTGAGGCGTATAACTAACACAACCAGAATATTTTGTAAACACAAGGCCAACAAAAATATTTCAAAAGATTTGAAAATTCAAACTGTAGGTATACACTAAAATGGTCTATGAATGCAAGCAATACCTATTCAACATAATTACTTATTGTAGAAAATCCAAAATATCCCATGTTTGATAATCCAAGTATGAAATATTCATTGATTATACAAGTTATGTTCTTACCAGTAAATTATTCGCTGGATAATGAAATGAAAACATATTCAGTTATCAATCTCTCAAGGAATGAGCGAACAAGGAGAAATATTCCAGGCAAACTTTACTCGCTTAAATTTATAACATCAAATTCGCAAACACACTGTGAATTCTTGGGTTTGTATAGACTCTTTCCAAAGATTGATTGTGCAATCACTAATTCTCACTGACATGAAAATACGTTAATATTCTCGTTCATTATATTTATCAACAGTCATATGGTACAACTAGCTGTTCACCTATTGATTCGACCTGTATACAGTATCAGTTGTAAGGTTGAAGGGTCCATGTGCCAATAGCAAAAAGCTTCATTCTTCTGAGAAAATGCATGAGGAATAAACTTTTTGTATTATTTCCAGCCCGATGTTCGGAATAGCAGAATTCAAACACGTCGAATATTTCGACGGCTCCAGAGTCCATGCCTGCCACACACTGGCCAACACATTTTGGTCCGCCCTGTACTTCCTCAGCAGTATATTCCTATTTTTCATTATCCCCCTAGTCGTCCTCCTAGTGCTGTACTTCATAATCGCAAGAAACCTGATGTCCAATGCAGCGACGCTAGTACTGAACAAGCACATCGACAACTACTCCATAAGAGCTCGAAGACAAGTCATATTGATGTTGGGAACAGTAGTGTTGAGTTTTTTCCTATGCCTCATACCGTTCAGGGTTTTCATCTTTTGGATAATCGTCGTACCAGAAGAACACGTGTTCAGATTGGGAGTCGAAAAGTATTACAATATTTTATATTTCTGTAGAATAATGGTTTATCTGAACTCAGCAGTGAATCCTATTCTTTATAATTTGATGAGCTCGAAATTCAGACATGGCTTCGCTATTTGTTCAGAGACCAAAAGGAAACTGTTCAGACGATCCAGGAATGGTACTACCAGTACAACAGCTACAAGGAGTAGCAGCACCTTCAGGAATAGCATAGACAGTTACAATTATAGGGTCTGTTACAGACCTAGAAACAATTCTGTTTTGATGAAGAATTATAGTGAGTCTCCCGACTCTAATAGGAGCGTTGATTCGCAATCTCATATTTTGAGAGATGTGTCTAAAAGGAGCAAATCATTAAAAAACACCAGTATTGATGAGGAATACGATGATTCGGATATAACAACTAGTAATGACCTTCAGAATTACCATGTTTTCACAGAAAAAGTATTGATTTATGGTCAAAACAAAGATCTTCAACATTTTTACCATAGTGACTGCTGTGGTGAGGAGATAGAACATATTGATCTACGTGAAAAATTCATGAGAAACAAGCAATCACAAGAAGAAGAGAGCTTCGTTTGATACTATGTAACTCTTACATCTTCCTGAACATGGTTACTATGAGACACAATGTTACTATATTATACACTTTGACCACGGAATAGCTTGCCATAATTATTTATTTTGATTGTATTAGTTCTAGTGCATTTGATGTACCAAAGATCAGTGTAAGTTAGTTCTTAATAAAAGTTTACTCTATCATATATATTTCATATAATTAGTTATGTACATAAGAATCACAAAGAGAGAACCTCAAAGGCATTACCACAATAGTTCATAAAATGAACGAAAATTGTAGATAACGAGAGAAAAACAACTACTTCCCAAGCTATATGCCACGCAGAACATTGCATTACATCCTCCCGAAATCTATGCAATAATTCGTATAGACGAAAGTTGTGACTGGCGCCTATTTTACTAAACGTATGGTAATAACTACCATCTTCTTTTTTCAGTGAAACATCAACTTTTTGATAAAATACGTTGTAATATTTTAAGAACACCATTTGAAAACCCTACAATTTCATGGAACGTTCGAACATAGCTTTCGGCAACGCCAGTAATGACGTGATAATCCCTTTGCCTGTGTTGCCAGCTGACTTGTTTTGAGGAAATATCAAGTAATTATTTCTCAATTCAAAATCGCTCCTACTGTGAACTGGTGAGTTGATTTGATATCCATTGATAAAGTGAATGAAATTGTTTCCCTCATTTCCAATTCTTCAAGTTTATCGCTGACATGATTAGTAATCGAGTAGGTTGTATCATGTTGTAGGTTCGATCAGCAGCGACGAGATTTTCTATACTACTCAATCATTCGTTTAAACGAAGGTTCATGAAACAATCTAACAGAACGATTTTGGTATACTTGTTGATGAACCTCAGATTCTGGTGACATCACTTCGATATCTGTGTCATAACATACCACAATCCAGTGTATAGGAAAACAAGAACAAGTGAGTTCCTAACTGTCTTGCACAGTTCATCCATGATATTGTTGAAATCACAAATATCTTGATGAGAGCGATACATGTTAAAATATCTGAAGAGGTGAGGAATCGGTTGAAAGGACAACGCTGTTCATCTCACTGAATAGACGGTCGACGCCTTATAGAACTTGTGACGTCAGTTTACCGCTGTCGATTTTCCGTCGTATTCTAACGGGAGCATTTCTTTGGGAAATCTAGAAGGAATGAAAAAATTTAGAAGATTCTCTATTCATTTTTTCATCATGATGACTGTCATAGTATTTTCAATAGAGATGTGTGTTATTGCCAATTCGAACTCATATTCCGTATGTATATGTTAATAAATATACAGTATTTTCGCTAGGCTCTGAGATGAAAGGCCTGTTACTTATAAATGAAAATCTGTTTCAAAAAATAGTGGGAGGTAGCTGAAAGCTCCCATTTTCTACTCATGAAAACTAATGGTATATTTCAACATCGCTTAGTAGTATCATCTTGAACATCATGAAACGCATCCCATCTCAAGATTAACGTGAGTATAAAATTATTTTTGATGATTTGATTCTTCTCACTGCAGATAATGTGTGATCCCATTTTCGAGATCATTTTTGTAGGTAGATAGAGTAGTTTGATAGTTACTGCAACCATGCCTGAAATGTGATGCTGAAACGATTTTCAGTCCAAATAATGGCATATACATCGATTTGGCATGAAACAACTTCAAGTAGGAAGAATATTCCGCATGTATGTTGGAGAGTATAGTGTCACCACTTTAATATTGCCATCGTTGTCCTTATGGTAGTATCATTTTTATATTTTCATCTAATGATGAGTTTATTTTATCGGATCATACAAAACTCTCAATGTAGTAAAATTAAGTACCTAGATTATTACTTGCTATTTACGGGTTTCAGATGTTCTTCAGCCAGATTTCATTGCGCTACTTTCGTAGCCATATATATAACACTATCAAAATCATATTGAGACCCTTCAGATGATACATAATAAATACATACCTCATGGAAGATTGAAGCCATCAAAGCAGTGATTTTAATGAGAAAGCAAAAATAAACGATTAAGGAGAATGAGAACCATAATAGAACTTTGGAATATAATAGCACTATTATTAATGCATTCTCTATATGCACCTCTTTCACCTAAAGTGTCTTCATTTCATGTAACTATTCCATTGATGATAGGTTTTCATTATCGCACTTTGGAGCATGCAATCTGTTTAATGAGTTGGTACATAATGCAATATAAAATATAGGGTACTCGATAACAACATTTTCATTGGTTTTCAATAATCTTCAATAATGATGTTTTCACCGTGTTCAGCTACGCCAATAATTTCAACACCCTCTCAAAATGCAATTCAATGTTTGGCTACAATCGACCAAAATTTTATTTGGATCGAAATGACCATTGAACTGAAAACCTCATCCAAATGTTAACGTTCAAGGGTAAATATCTTCGATAAGGAGCTACTTGAAGAAAATTCTACTGGAAATTCTAGTATTATTCTCACATGTACTCCTGAACCCTGACAGTAGATACATTCGACACACTATCTACATTATATATTGACATATAAAAAAACTTGTTGAGTGCCCTATACACTGAGGAAAATATAGTTATATGAATTTCTATTCAAAAAAGTCTCATAACTCTGTCAATTGATATATTCCAACTTTTTAATTGTTTCCTGATGAACGTGAGTTGATATCTTCAAAGTGATGCAGGTTCGGAATCCAACACCTATCTGATTTGGTAAAGGACAAGATTCCAGCTGAAATATAGTATTCAAAAAAATAAATAACCTTGAAAGATGACTCCTTACAGTTGAACGGTACTTTGTTTTTTTCAATCAGGTGACATTTAATTTAGGAAATGTTGAGGTGGATTCATGCACGACCTAATTTAAGCCGAATGAATTTACCCCTTATTTGATTTGGCCCTAACAATCGGAATTGAGTGGTTCATGAAATAGCATATTAGAAATCTTCAACTCCTGAGATCAACTTTTCATATGTTACAAGTCGAAGCCCTGAGGGGGCAGAAGGACGATCTAGTCTTCATAGCCATCTAGTGGCTTAAGTGCAAGGTGTATAGGTAGATTCATCAATCATACCTTGCGACTAAGTCGTGCATATAGACCCCTACGTCTATATGCTTACAGAAAAGACATCCATGTCAGATTCTGTAGACTATCGCAACACCTGTAATTCTCAAAGTGGTTTAATGTTCCACTAACAGATGGTGATAAACCTAGTCTCAAGACTAAGAGATTCTAGGGCGACTTAGTCGCAAGGTATGATTGATGAATCTACCTATACACCTTGCACTCAAGCCACTAGATGGCTATGAAGGCTAGATCGTCCTTCTGCCCCCTCAGGGCTTCGACTTGTTTGATATATGGAGGTACCCTTCGTGAATCGATTGTCAGCTGGCCAGTGCAACTGATGAGACTTATGGCAAGTCGAAACAGTCTTGCATCAGCTGACAATCGATTCACGAAATTTCCCTAGAGTCTCTTAGTCTTGAGATTCTAGGTTTGTCATTGTCATATGTTGTTCACTTTCGAAAAAAATGAGGTTTCTAAGACTGTTTTGATAATGATGGCCTTAACATCAGTTCAAAATCTATCCATCATAGGAGATACGCAGTGCGTCCTTGGATAGGAAGGATAAGGAAAATTTTATTTCGGTAAGGCTGCTGCTTCTTCTTCTGTTTTTTATCTCCCCGAGAATGTTTTGGGATTATCCATTTTAATTTCACATTGTGTTCTTCGTGGCAATACTTATTGACATGAATAACCCCAAATAACAGCTTCTTTCCTTCAAGATTTGTGTCCTTTGGAGGGTATCATTATCTTTATATTCTGATGTTAAAAATGATAAATAAAATAATCCTCCAGGATTCTTCGTGCATCAAAGCATGTTTTAAAGGTTTAGGTATACTTGGACATGCACGATATATATATATTTTTTCCGTAGCATATGAATATCACAAACATGTATACTTATTACCTCTATCCAAAGTATACATTTCTTGGCCTCATTGTAGGGAGCAAAGTCGTGATTTTTCTCCCTAGGGTAGAAAAGTACTGTTAGTCTCATGGGCAGGAAAAGAGGCTTTTCTCTGACACTTAACATGCAGAAAAGGTTTACTTCCTTGACCTAGGTATGCAAAGTTTGTTGCTATGCAACGTTCCAAGACATTTCAATAAAATTGGTAATCAAAATCAACACTGACATTGGGTGAACATAAAATAATGGAGTTTTCAATAAAGACATTACACAAAATTGGGTTTATAAAATTTGGGACAATTTTTTTTTTACACGGCAATCAATCTACTATACTTTCCTGCCTAATAAAACAAATTACTATTCTCTCCAAGCGGCACGAAAAGTGACTTTTCTCTGACAACTTACTTGCAGGATAAGTTATACTTATCCTGCCTGAGCAGGAAAAGTTTGTTGCTATGCAACGATGCAGCTTGAGTAAAACCGTATCGATACGCTTATTTTGCGAACAAATAATGCTGATTATTTCTATTGCATGAAGAATCCGGAAGGATTCTTTCATGTATCATTTTTAAACATCAAAATATATTGGTATATAATGTTACCCTTCAGAACACGTCCGAAAATCTGTCACTACTTGTCGGTCTATAAATTCATTAGGCTAAATAAGGTTGTGCAAACTGTATAACCTTCAAAACATTTCTGAATTGAATAAGCGCCACCATAGCTCAATTTTCACTGTAATCAATTCATTTCAAAAAAATCATATCCTTCTTCTACTTCTGTTGACTTTATTGGTTTTCTGACTCCTTGCGGTAAAAAAAATCATATAACTGCGAAACAACACTTGTATGAGAATGAAATGACGCTCATGTAGGGGTCAAATGATTAGCATTTCAGTATTAGATAGTGATATTATTGAAATGAAATAATACTCGTATCAATATAATTTGCTTTCAATTTAATAGTCAAATGATTGGCATTTCAGTATTAGGGTGGTTATTTTTTCACAGAAAAATGAAGTGGGATGAAGATCGTCGAGAAGTATTGAAGACATCTACTCAGTATATATACTCACCCACAAGTAGGGTTTTTTATTGAAACTACAGGGCATTGAAGTGCATCACAAAGGCGAGATACTCAGTACACGATATCTCAATTTGCCAATTTGGAGTATTTGTTATTCTTGTCACTACCTTGGATT